CAAACAGGCACAGTAGGAGTCCTCAGTATGGGAGCTGACTGACTCAGAAGAGATCTGCTTGGCAATACCTCCTTATTAAAAGAAAGTCATGTCCACTCTACATGATTAGATTAATATAACAAATTAAGACCAGCTCACATATCCTTTTATTTACCAAGTTTTCTGTGATTCATGTATAAAGCAACACTCTTTGCTTGGACTTTATATCCATTTTCTAACTTGACTGAAAAAAAAATGTTCACATTTTAGTAAGCGTCTTAGCATATTATCAAAAATGACCTGGATGTGAGGGAATACTCTCTGTATACAAAACCCAGAAGGAAAGACACACATATACTGACATGTTAGCTGTTATTACAGTTTTAGATCATAGAAGACTTTTCTTCCCCTTGTTTTAATTAGAAAAGAGGAACTTCTAGCCCCACAGTAGAAAAGTCAATTTCTCCTCCTCCAATCCTATCCTTAAATCAGAAGTTCCTGGTATTAAAAAAAAGAACCTCTGGCTCTCCATCGTCTTCAAAATTTAGGAGTGATAAGTCTTATATATTACTGTGTATATACTTATAAGTGTCCAATTTTTTATACTGGTGACATTTATTAACCATCTTATGATTTTTATATTAGACACAGGGTTCTTTATTTTCTCCATAAAAAGACTGTAAGTTTGAAAGTGTTAGCTCCTGTGGGTATTGTTGGAGGCACATGGCTGGGAAAACTCCTATAGAAAGCTGTAAATATATCCTGCAAAACAATGTGCCAATCCAAAAACTGCACCATGGAGTTTGGGTATACCCTCCTTAAGATACATAGAAAGTGGGTGGTGGTGGCACACACCTTTACTTCCAGCACTCCGGACGCAGAGCCAGGCAGATCTGAATGAGTTTATTGCCAGCCTTGTCTACAGAGCAAGTTCCAGGAGGGCCAGAATTGTTACCCAGAAAGTTCATATCTTGAACTGCCCTTCTCCCACAATGAAATGACACAAGTGTTGTTTTTTATCATGTGGTAATAGAGCCCATGTGGGAGTCTCTTCTGAGTCTCCCAATTCCATGATCCCATTAGGAATACAGAAGATGAAATTAAAATGGAAAAGTTGGAAGAGGAGGACTGGGATGTGTACCTGACTGCCTGTGGCACAGGAAGTCCTAGGAGTGCAGTGATCCTGTGAGGGTTCTCAATACTGGAAACTATTTCAATAGTCACTAACCAAGATAATGGCCAGTCACATGGTCATCTCTATCTTGATGAAGTCACCAGCCAAGATGGCAACAAAATCATTTGGTTTCTTTCTGTGTGGTGAGGTCAGCTCATGATAAATGAGCCCAGACCTCACCAGGGCATGAGACCATGGGGAACATAGAAATGTGGGCAGCCACTGCTTTATTTCTCAAACAATGGATCTCAAGCATGGATATAACAGAAGAAAGTACCCAGAATACAGGTGTGTGAGCCCCAAAGAGCAAAATAAAGACACAGAGGAAGAATAATCATGGCTTCGATCCAGGACCGGGGGCCAAAAGGGGCAACAAAAAAGGAAACAAGAAAGCAAAAGGGACACATTCGGATTTTCCTTTGATCTCACTGAGCTCCTAGGTAGAAGCTAGGATCCAGAAGGCCCTCTGTAGGACTTTACTTAGCAGTCACTGATCTGTGTTTGTGTACACTCCCTGCCTGTCCCTCTATGCCTGTGTATGTGAATGTTGGTGGTGGTAGTGGCGGTGATGGTAGTGCTGGTGGTACTGGTGGTAGTTGGTGGTTTGCTGGCATGTATGTCTATACATTATGTATATGTCTGGTAGCCCCAGGGAAGAGAAAATGTCAGATTCCCTGACACCAGAGTTACAAAAGGTTTTTAGCTGTGTGGTTGATGGGGATCCGAATCCTCTGGAAGAGCAGCCAAGTGCTTATATCCACCGAAGCACCTCTCCAGCTCCTATTCCTGGCATCTCTTGAGTATGCTCGACTGTATGAAGTCAGGTAGGGACAGGCTTAGAGTCTTCCAGGTCAACTAGTTTCTTTCCTGATGCACCCTTTTCAGTCACTTCTCTCCTGTCACAGCAGTGCGGCAGAGGTGTACAGGGAGACAGATGCAATTAGAACAGAGGCCCCACAGAGCTAAGTGGTGACAAGAGCAGGAAGTATGAGCAAGAGAGGAATCTGGAGTATGTGATAGGATGCTAGACATTCCCCAGTAGGAGAAGGAGCTAGTTTGGGGGAGCTAAGGAGACAGTAGTGTGTGTGAGGAGGACCTAAGAACAGAGTGGGCAAATGTCGAGGAGTGCTTCATGTGCTTGCTGAAGGTTTGGCCACTTAGCTTTATGGGAGTAGAGAACAAGTCACAGCTGAGAGGTGAAATAGAATCCCAAATGGAGACACTTGGGAGATTGTATCTCTCCACCATGGAACTGCAGCTGTGACCAACAAAGACAGTTCCAGTTTGCAGGACCTTGGATTTCATGGCCCGCAAAAATGTGTACAGCAAAAATTTCATGTCAGGAAATAGGTGCAGAGTGGCTACCACTGAACTTCCAGAACTGTACACAAGCCACTCTACATTGTCATTTTTCTAATGGCAGAGATCGCATGCCAAGAACCTACACACATAGTCTCCTAACTGTCAGAGGGCTTTCCCCAGTGAAGTCATCCCCTACCACAGCCCATTTTTCTCTGCCACAGCCAGGTTTATGATCACTGCTTAGTCGGCTTCCCGGTTACAGTGAACTTCATAAAGTGCTCTTGCCCTGTGGTCTAAAGGGGCAATCCCTCACCAGCATTCCCTTCCTGTTAGCCACAGGCTAGCCAATCCATTATCTGCCTTTCTCTCTGCTGACTCTGAAGGCTGGGGCTTCAGGGTTGTATCTTTGGGGACCCTCTGCACCCTCACCCCCATCCCCACCCTGCATCAATGAGGGGCAGGCAACTGGGAATACATGTGCAGCAGCTAATGGGACAGGTCCCATTGATTTTTTTTATTTCAGAAGCCCGTTGCTGCTGCTGGTGGAGATGGGAAGACTGAAATTAGGGATTTGTGTTGCTGGACATTGTTTTCCAGGAAATAATGTGAAGCTCCATCCACCTGAAAGGTATGATCGTACAGTCAGTCTCAAGACACAGAGACAGAGACACAAGATAGAGACAGACAGACAGACAGAACATGGGTGCATCTCAGAGGACAACTTGCAGGAGGGGCTTCTCCATTCACCTCAGGGTTTGGGGAGTGGACTCAGATGTCAGATTTGTAAACTGCACCTCACACACTAAACCATCTCATCTGCCCTAATCCTGGTTTGTGTGTGTGTGTGTGTGTTGATGTGAACTGGCTCTCATGTAGCCCAGGGAGT